CGATATGAAACCCCCTTCACAATCGGTAAAAACCAAAGCTTCTCCTAAAAAGTGTAAAAGTACACAAGATGACAATTCAACAAGGCGGATTATGTCTTACCTTGAAGTTGTTGATTCACATTTCCTGGATTCTCCAAGCCCAAAATCACAAAAAAGTATTTTCAAAGGAGCTCGCATTTCCAAACCACCTCGTACACCGCCAATCAAAAAACCACCAATTCCACCGCCGAATTTTCACATTGATGAGATTCTGATTTTTATGCTCAAACACATTGAAAGGATCGTAGATGTGGGGGGGGGGGGTAATTGTGGGTTTCGGGCCGTGTCCAGTTTACTTGGTAAAGGTAAGGAGAACCACATTATTGTACGACAAACACTTATTTCGGAATTGATGGCGCATAGGGAATATTACATACGACTATACGAGGGTAAGGAACGTTTCAATAAAATTCATAATGCTCTTGATCCAAGTCTTACATTTTCCACATTACTTGACAAGTGGATGCGCTTCCCTGAAATTGGTCATCTTATAGCAAATGCATATGACAGGGTGTGTATCGATCTCACAAGATATGGTTTTTCTGAGACATTTTTCCACTACGAAGTCGCCCACCTCAAGACTCATCCAGCCGCATCATCTGTATTGGGTATCTTAGATCTCTCCATTTTGTTCAAGTATTTTTGAAGTCTGGGTGTCCTATTCTGGCTAGTTCAATGGATGACACATTCCGCAAAAGAGACAAAAACTATGTCAAATCATTTTTTGGAAAGGATGGCTGAATTCACCAAGTTGTCGGAACTTGAAAGAGAATCAAATAGGGAGAAGTCGAAGAAAGAACCTGTTTTAGATTTAAGCGGTAGCCATTTGTTCGGTACATTTTAGAATATAATCGAACCATTTTTTGTATGTATTATCGTGCACAATATAATTGAATCATTTTGAAATGTATCTATACGATTCAATACATATATGATATATCTATTCAACATTTTACTGATTTATACTTTTATCGATTAAATTGTGAATTTATCTTTGAATGGTATTATATAATAGAGTTTTGTCTCTGCATAATTCGGAAACACATTTTTGAAAGTTTAAAAAAAATAATCAGGGAATTTTTTGGAATTGTACTTCTGAAAACACCTTAATTTTGTTAAAAAATAAGGGGTTGTTTCAGAAGTGTATTTCCGAAACATGCCCTGACACAGGATAAGAATCTTTAGGACTAAATTGCTCTGAATCTTCTACAAAATAGGGTGTCTAAACCATTTTTTCAACATCATACACCATACCCAGATATCACACACCACAATTCAGATATGACACAAACATATCCTCACCTTCCTTTTGTCTACTTCAATGGTGCGATGTTGCCACTTCAATTTAGGTTCTGCGAGGATACGTGTAACACCCCAATTCTACCCCAAGCAATTATGCAATTAAATCATAGTTATAAAATTTCATTCATACAAACGAATCGGGACGTCACAAATTCTTCTAACAAATTCATTGCATTCATCATGGATATATAACACTTATGATAAAACATCGGATGAACCATCAACATAGCATCTTTGATAAAATAATTCAACAACTACGCGGCGGAATTCTCCAATAACATCTTTAAATAAAAAAACAACAACTTCGAAACATCTCATATTTAATAATAATCAATTCAAAATTCAGCAACTGAAAATCAACAATCAAAAATCAGCAAGCGTTCATCCCCCCAAGTGTTACATATCAGAGCAATGACACTGACTCGATCTATTGAAGGTATACAACCTTCACTCTCGATTACCTGCACGTTACCAACATAGGGGTAACATTCAAACAGAAGGGGTGAGATATCTAACAATATAATAAAGCGCATGATAATTAATATATTAAATTAGATCAATAATATCACCACTTCTCGTCTCATAATCAACAACAATTACATCATATATACTCATTCATCAACATCAAATACACTTCATTATTCAATCATAAAATGCGACTCAAAACTATGCAAATGTATGTGGTACCATTGGAGCAGAACTCCCATCTCAAAAATCTAATCTGCCAATTAATAGAGGCATCAACAAGGCATAGCCTTCATCTCAAAATTTGCCAATCCAGGCCATCTCAATGAGCATAAGCTCCATCAAAAAATGCAATGCATGCGACTCAACATGAATGTAATAACACACTCAGTTAACAACATCTCAAAATACATCTCAATCATCTCAAAACGACAACATCTCAGTCATCTCAAACAACAACATCTCAATCATCTCGGAACAACATCTCATAAACATCTCAGAACAACAACATCTCATAAACATCTCAAAACATCTCAATTACAGCATCTCATAAACATCTCAAAACATCTCAAAATAATATATTAAACATTACTTATTTATCAAATATCATTTGTTCCTCATAAATTATCAAACACCACCTTAATAACCACATCTTATTAATAACTCAGCTGTATATCAATACTACAGTAATCCCTACTATTATTCTACTACTGTACATCATTATTGTCACTAAATCCTACTGTCATAATTCTAACAGCAACCTCTAACATCTCATATTCATCATTCTGTCCAAAATCCAGCATAACAGTCATCTACGGGAATTAATTCTAAATCCTAAATTGGTTACTAGGATTACACCTCTTAATCATCATTTTAATCATCTAGAATAATATTCATCGCGTTAGCTAATCAACGCTTCGAACGACATCTCAAACAGCATCCTAAAACTCAAGTTAAAGCAATTAGAAGTCAATTCTGTCAAAAATCCAGCATTATGTATCGACACAAAACTCCTTGGATCGATACATCCTGCTTCATCTACTCACTATGAGTCGACACATCCTCCTTATGGATCGACTCATTCTGCTTCAAATCACAACATGTATCGACACATGCACTTACCGATCGACTCATCCTGACTTCAAAACGCAGCATGTATCGACACATGCATCGCACCGGTCGACTCATCCTGAGTCTCACACACTCATGTATCGACACATCCTCTGCATGCATCGACTCATCCTGAGTCTAACAGCCTCCTTGCATCGACTCATCCAGTTTGAGGTCGGCGCATCTTGCGATTTTCTGCATAATTTTCTGCGTTTCTACTGTATTTTCACTACTGAGATCTAATTACAGTCCTACAAACTTCATCATAACCATGATAATTCATCACTTAACATTAACTTATAATACAACATCGATTACACAGCATCATAACATCATTTATCCATCGAGGATTCATCAATATTCACCATACATCATTCAATTCAATAACAAAAACAGCAATCCTCTAACCCCACATATCAAACATCATGAACCCAATTATAAAGCCAGAACCCCACCCTTACCTTGGATCGAAGGTCGCTCTACAATTTCCGGGTTGAATCTTTGTTCTTGTCGTTTCCTTCAAAATCCAGCAGCTTCACGTTCTCCTCAAATCCTTATTTCTCTTCTTACTGCTTCTTCCTTCTATTCTAACAACAAATAATAAAATAACCTAATATTATTATATTATTCTTTATTGGGCTCAAAACCTACATCCCCTTATTACTTCCACTCACACCATATAGGCCCACATTAATAATATTACACTTCTAATATTATTTCACATAATAATATAATACCTCTAATATATTATTATTTCTCCACTTAATAAAATAAGTCCAATTCAATAACACTTCTTCACAAATATTCTAAAAATAATTTAATTAAATAATTAATTAAATTACGGGCGTTACAATACGCCTCTCGCCGAGCTCATTACCATACTCAACTCTCTCTTGCAATATCCAGAAAATCGGAGGGTAGTCAAGCTCGAGTATCATTCACCATCACTTGACACTGAAGGAAATGTCAAGTTCACCAAATTTGAGTTGAAGACGAATGTGGATTTAAAGGTTATGTAGAGTACTTTTCACCGATACTCTACTAAGGATCTGATTGAATCCGACGCAAAGATTCAGAGATTTGGTGAAGATGCTATCAAAATGTTGCGACGTCCTTAGTTATCTGTTTATAATATGTAATGTTAAATTTATAGCATTGAATATCTTCGGAAAAATGAAATCTGATGCGTTCAGAAAAACATCTTCAAAATTTTGAGAATAAAAATGAAATTTCATTAAAGATGGCTAAAGTGTAAGGATGGGAAATAAGTATAAAATTAGGATTGAGAATGTGAGTCATGGTTGATTTGTGAAATTTTCTTCTTCTCTTTCTACGCTTTTAGGAGTTCTCTCCTTTCCTTATAGATTATTCATCAGGTTGTAATTTGCTTAATTCACTCGTATTCCATACACAGGGAATGAAATTGAATAGAAATAATATAATTTGCCAGTGTTTTATTTCAGTATCATTACAATTACACAAAAAATATGTGAAATTTTTTATATCGTTAATTCATTAGCATCATCCGTTTTTATTATTTTACATGTGATAATAATAATAATAATAATAATAAAAGTCAAATTTCTCTAATAAATAAATAATTTTAATTAATTGATAGTGTAAAATATCTTTACATTATTAATATATATTAATTAAATTTTTATTTTAATCATTATTTGTATCACAACTATTAATAAATATTATTTTATAAATAATTAAAGAAAAAAATATATTAATAGTGTAAAATATTTTTATATTATCTACCAATAAGAGATATATATCAAATTAAAATATATTTTTATTTTAAAATAATGATATAACATGATAAATTAATTTTAATTGGTTATAGATGTAATATTGTTTTACACTCCCTGCATTACCTTTAAACTCTAATTAAAATACTAATTTACAGTGTCAAATTTCTTTACATATTAATTTAACTCTGCAATCAAACAGTAGTAATTAAATTAAAGATTAGCAATAACTAGTAGTATATTAATCCATTCATCCTCATCATACAAAAAAAGTAATCTATGTGTACTAGAAACCCAGCACATCATACCCAGCAGCATAACTAACCCTGATCATGAAACGCAGGCACCAGGCACCAGACACATCGAAATGAAAGCCAACATTTTTTTCTGCATATACATTACATTAAACTCAATATATTATTAACATAGTAATTAATCTAATCAAATCAAAATCAGGGGTAACAAATTTCACAACATTTAATAGTAAAAATCAAAAAGTGACTAACCCGTTTGGTTTTGCGAAGAAGTTGTGGAGAAATTTTGTAGAGATCTTCGTCAACTGGCTTTGGATTTCTGGTTGGTAAAGGAGTCGTTGATGTCTTCTTCTTGTTCATTGCCTTCCTGGGATATTCTGTTACATCGTACACTTTGCCCTGTTTTCTCATTCTCGTTTCTCTGTTCCTCGTCTCCTACGTATAATAAAATAAAACACAAACAACATCACACACTCTTTCTGCGTCACTTGTCTTGTTCTTATCTGAACCAAACAATATGTACCCAAAAAAATTAAATAAATAAATATAGTAGCCATGTGTTATTCAGATATCATGTCCTTTCTCAAACATCACATTGATAACAATGCCTCCTCATCACTCGTGACTACATTTATTTAACTACCATACAATTGCAGAATATATATTTATTACTAAAAAAATTGCAAATTTCTTCACAATCACAAAATACAATTAAACAAGATCTTGTTACCTTTTCAACTGGTTTCTTGGAATCAACTGCATACAGATCTTGTTCTCCGTGCAGGTAAGGAGCGCTCTCGCCAGATGAAGAACTGTAACGAATCAAACCAGCATGTCTTGCATTCTCGAAGTATTGAGTTATTGGCAACTCGTTCGCAATATCCCAGTTTCCGAAAGTTGGTATTTGTCCACTTCTCTTCCAATATTCCTAACAATAAAAAACAACTTGAATCATTTTTCATCAACTTTAACCACTAGTATAACTTATGAAAAAGAAAAGGTTCGTTGAAATATAAGCTTACATCCATTTTTGGTTTCTTAAATCAAAACAAAACACCTTGCTTCACCCAGAAAGTGACTGTCTCTATTGTTTTGTTGTGCTTGTGGCTTTACAAGAGAAAACTTTAAAAGGGAGAAAAGTAACAAGTAAGGATGACGTGGTTCCCAAAAAACCTCAGACAGGGTTATAAATTCCCTGAACAGAATTTATAGAAAAAGTGAGAGGAATGGGTTAATAAAGGTTTGGGAGAGTAAGAAAGGGGTGCATTGAAATTGAAGAGAGAGAAGCAGAGAAAAGAGAAAGAGGTATTGATAAGATTGAACAACAAAAACAGAAGCTGGCAAGAATTCTGTTGTAGCATTGGCTTTGTTCCTTTTACTACTAAAACACACAATACTAACAAAGTAAGAAGAGAGATAGGTGTGGTAGTTGAATTGTAATTTATGTGTAAGGAGGATTAAGAATGAATTTCAATGCTATGAAGCTGTCACTGTTTCACTCTGTTGCATTCACTTTTCCACTTATAATCGAATCACCCCTACCTAATGCAACTATATTTCTTTCCACACCTACTGCACTCTATTTCTTTGGGATCTCTAAAGAAATTTCTAAAGTATTTTTAAAATTCGAAATTGTATCTTCAAACGAGTTAAATTTTAATTTAATTTTCAAGGAATTTTCGGATAAGAATATCCGAAATAATCTAATTTCAAATTTTTAAATATGTTTTTAGATATATAGATATTCGAAATAACTCAATATTTCGTCTTTGAAAACTTTCGATTAAACATATATAAAGTATTTCAATAATTAAAATCAAGATATATCAATTATAATAATTAGAATCAAATTATATTAATTATATTTTTTTATCAATTATTTATATAAATTTTATATATTTTTAATCCGTTAAAAATAGAAAAATATTATTTATTTATGTAAAAATATTTATTTAGTATAATAAATTTTCTAATTAAACATAATAATTAATTATCAATTTTATAATAATAATTAAAAAAATTATTTAAATTAAATTTATCTTTTAAAATTAAAATTAAAAATTATTTTTTTATCAAAAATTATTCATAATTTTAAATAAATAATTGAAAAACAATTACATTTCATCATTATAATTAAAAAAATTATTATTACATTCATTGTTTAATTTCATATCATATATTTAGTTTTAATTATAAATTTAAGCTATTTTTTATTAATAATAATGTAATTTAATTATATTATAATTATATTATAAATAAATTTATTTTTAAAATAAAATCAAAATAAATTTAGGATATTGAATGATTTCGGATATATATATCCGAAATTATCCTTAAATTTTTTAAAGAATTATTTCAAATATATATTTCCGAAATCATCTAATATCCTAAATTTATCATGTATGTTTAGAAATGCATATTTAAAAAATATTTTTGAAATTTCAAATGTGAAAATCACTACTACTTAGTAAGAGAAATTCTCTTTATATTATCATATTATTATGTAGAATTTTTGTTAATAAAGTTGCAAAACTTTTTCAATGGAAAAGAAAGCTTTAATCTGTTACTCTATATTATTTATGGATGTGTGTTTTTTCGAGCAAAATAGATCTCACGCTTATGTTTTACTTTTACCCATATTCTATGTCCATCTACACATAACAATCTATGTTTTGCTTCTTAAAATTATTATATGTTCATAAAAATAAGTATTATTGTGAGATTGGCACCGTTTACTTTAATTAAGTTAGACGTAGGGATAGAGAAAAACTTGCTTGGACAAAAACATAAATTCTTATTAGTTACAAACAATTAATAAGAATAAAGAAAATATTTAATTTATTTAAATTTTTTGTTTTTAAATTAATATTATAGGATAGTTATGATTATAAAAGAGAAAGAATTTCTTAGTTTTTATTTTTTAGTTAATAAAAAAATATGATTGCTTTTTTTTAAAATCAAATATTATGTTTGTATTCAAGTAAATTTTTCCCCCTAGGAATGAAGCTAGGCATGTGTAAAGCAAAAACACAATGGCACTTATCCATGGATGCAACTTATTTTAAAAGTTACTGTACAATAAAACAATAAAACAAAGAAATTAGTCAATGGCATGTAGCAGAGCTTCAGTAAAATCTGCAAAATAAACTGATGTTCGTAATAATTTATGGCCATAGCAGAAGATACAATATAGTCAACACAATAAATATTATTTATCTGTTTTAAAATGATAATCATTTTAATAAATAAAATTTATTTTAAAATAACTGTTATTTTCTAATAATAATATATTTTTTCAATTGACTCATTTTATTTTTTATTTTTAACATTATTTCAAATATATTAATAAGATTAATTTTATAAAACTTAAACAACAATCGTTTTAAAAAAGAGAAATATAATTATCTCATAATTAGTAACAACACTAAACCAGTACATATGCCTCCTTAACACAAATCGGATTAGTCAATCTACTAACTGGTCGAAAGCAAAAAAAAAATCAAAAAATATAAACATGTTATGGGGTCCATGCTATTAAGAATTTTATTTGACATCCATTTATTTGGATGATGAGAGCTAGTGAGAAAAGATACTAGTATTTTTTTTCCTAAACTAGGTGCTAAAATGAAACATTACCTAGTGCATAATAGTGCGATAATATGGGTGAGAAAGTGGTGATGTCCTTTCTTACCAAAACTTTGAAAAAATGTGACGTTTATAAGTCAACAGAATTCCAGCATATATCATCAAATGTCACGCCAATGTCATGTTGTTCGCTTCCTTAATACACCCATCCTGTCATGCACATGCCAAAATAGTATTCACTCTCTTCGTGTTTATTCCGTATTAAAATCACTTTCCCTTAAAGTTTTTGTATAAAGATTAAAGAATATAATAATATTATTATAAGATATTATAATTTTATAAAATTAATTTTATTTATATATTAAAAGTAGTGTTCAGAGTAAAAAGTAAATGAAACAATTGGAAAAATAATCATCATTACTATATTGAAAAGTGAAAATTGTTGTAAATCTATTAAATATCTATGATGAATTTCTATCAATCTTGATGAATAATATTGACATCACCACACAATGAGAATGAATTATATGAAAAGAAAGAAAATAATTATTTTTCTGTAGAATTTTTCTCTGCCCACAAACTGCGGAAAACTTTATTATTCATTTTGCAACTGCAAAATTCTGTGAATACAATTTAATTTACATGATTACAAAAAATAGGGGTTACTCACTCTATTTGTATATTTAGGTTAGTATGCTCTATAAGCCAAAAACTCAAAACTATAATAGCTCAAAATACTTATTTTGGAACTAAATCAAATATATTATATTTTAGATCTAAATCAAATTTATCTAAATCTAAAATCAAGTCTATGTGCAGTATCTTCGACACGCCATGTTTCGACACTTCTTTGTCTCTGTCGATCAAACTGATTCGACACAAGTAATTACTTTCAACACACCACCTAATTCATTGTGTCTAAGCTATCTACACTCATCATAGCTCTTAGTCTTCGAAATACTTCGACCGCATACCCTTCGTCATGATGTCTGCAATCTAATTTTCAGTTCTGCAGTGTTTCAAGTTCATCTCCCCATCTGCTACCTGCTCTCGAAGATAGTGGAACCTCATTTCGATGTGCTTGTTTCGATCATGAACTATCGAATTCTTCACCAAGTTGATAGCTGATATATTGTCGATCTTCATGGTAATTGCTCCATGATCTTTCACTGTGATTTCTTCGACCAAGTTCACCATTCACGTTGCTTTACATTGTTTACCCTGGAATTTGGTAAACAATCGTTGATCCTCTAAATCCCTTAACAAATCCATTTACTTGCGAGATCTATCAGATTGATCTAAGGACTGTTGTGTTCTAGTATTTAGATAACATATTTTTTTTATGATAATGTCCTTTAAACGAAAGGAAACACTTCGTATGTCGAAGTGGAACTTCTTTATGAAAGTAATAAAATAGAAACTAGTCTAAACTAGAAATTATAAAGAACATAAATAACATGAAGAAACTTCATTGCATGTAAATGACATTGAATTGTAAAACATGGTGTATCATACGTACATTCTCGCTAACTCATTTCTCTAACACTGGTACTTTGAGCATATTTGAGTATTTTGTACAAAGATGTGAACACACTAAATTGAAACACAAAAGCTACAATTTATAGAATTTTGACCCTAACGGTCTCCTAACGAACTACTGCCACGTTTCCGTTGGCATGTCTTCGATGATCCTAGAGATTCCACGTGTCCTTCTGGATAAGAATGAACATTCGAATTCAAAAACCCTTCGATTATCCGTCTTTAGCGCCAAATCTGATAACGTTCAAAGTATAACGTTTTGAACCTTATCTCGAATAATATCTTAATTCGAATTCGAATTTCGAATGATACCTTACTTCGAATAATACGTTACTTCATAATTCGAATTTCATAAACCATCCATCAATTTCGAATTCAAACCTTCATGGTTTCCAACAAATAAAATAACCAAACAACTTTCCAAGTATATTCAGTACCATTTACTCAGCTCATTTTTACTTAGTCGAAATTTCCAGCCAACAAATTGCCCCCAAGAAATATTCATTTCGAAACCAGAAATATACATTTTTTGTAATCCCTTCAAATTTCGACCTTCTGAACAATTCCTTAACTGTTTCAACTTATTATGACGTCATTATCATAATGACTTTTGACTCCCAAATGTCTAATCGCCGTATGAGTATCTATAAATCTCATTATTAGCTATGATGAATAGTGTTAACTTTGAAACTCACAAAAACCGTTCATCAAGCAAAGGATCTCTTTACATGTGTCCCACTAAAATTTTAACTTTCCTCTTTCCATTAACAACGATTCAATTTCCCTTCATATAAATTTAACACCATTTATTTTATTCCTCTTCTGCATTTTTCCAAATCAAAATTCCCCTCTCCTTGTTCTAAAGTTCAACAACTTTTCTGTAACTTTTTCTTCTTCAAAACAT